GACTTTGTCACCATTAGCATCCTAGATGTTTTCTTATCCCACTATAATTGTTGCACATGTCCCCAAATACTAGTTATACCTGTCACTACCTGAAAATTATTGTAGCTATTAAATCAATTGTCAGGTGTTGTTATTTAATGTATTAATAAAACAGTACACATACTAGTATATCATTTTGTTTGTTTTTATAATTGTTTTCAATATAATTGGTTTCCTTGGTGATCCTAGGTATTTTATTTTATTCATTTAAGAACATTATTCTGAGAAGGCTCATAGGCTTCCTCGGACTATCAAGTGGCACAGACAAGATTGAAGATTGTTGTTTCGGGCCAGGGGTTGTACAACTCTTTCTCACAGGGTCGGATTGTAAATATTCTATGCTTTGCAGTTACATGATCTCTGTTTCCACTACTCAGCTCTGTCAGTGTAGCAGGAAACCAGCCATAGACACTAAACAAACAAGCGAGGTTGTGTCCTAGGAAAACTTTATTTGTAAAAACCGACAGCTGCCTGAAGCCTGCCACACCCTGGTTTAGAGCATCTTGTTATCCCTAAGGTCAGTTCTACAGGTGTTTCGATTCAGCTCAGCCTCCCTTAATTGGACACCTACCATGTGCTTGTATCCATCCAACACGTACTATTGAGTACCTTCTATGTGCACATCGTTCATGGAGCTGATGTCGCTCTGTCCGCCTCCACCCACTATTCCTTTTCAGTTATTCAAGCTCAAATACATTCCAGATCTAACTGAAGTTCTTCCTGGTGCTCGTAGACTGTCCCTGGGATTCCTGTTCACATTGACCTGTTCAGATAGAGCTCTTGAAACATGCTGTTTTGCACTGGCTTTCTACGGATCCTTAGATGTCTTATCTCCCAATTAGATTGGAAACTCCCTAAGAATGGAACTATGTTTATAGTTCCTTGAATCTCCAGAATGTAGCTTCTGTGGATGGATACCCAGCTGATAATCATTAGTCACTTGCCAATTGACTAGCCCAAGGCAGCTACCTACTGGGTTTGGTGGTACCAAGAAAAACAATTGTCCCCTAAGGATGAGGTTGGCGATGGGAGAGAAGCTTAAAAGGCCAAAAGAAAAAATGCAAATAAAACAGAGAAATATACCACCGAGTGATTCTGTGACTTTGGCTAAACCATTCCCTTCAGTGCCCACATGCGTTGAAGGAGAGCCTCGTCTAGACAAGTTGCTCTTAAAGCTTTGGAGGATCTGATAAAAGTGAAGGACCCTTCTCTTAGGAAAGTGAGATGATGTTCACACACAAAGGCCCACATATAATCCCTGAGAGTTTCAGGCCCTCAGACGAAATGATCTCCAAGATGCCCGATAACCGGGTTGGATGCTACATGGCCAGTGGTAAGACTCCTTCCCACCCAAAGAAGCCAGTGAGTGAGTCTTGATTACTTGAATCAGCTACTTGGGATTTGAATAGCCACTGCCAACACCTGGCTTGTGCCCCTGAACTCCCCTGCCCAGCCACCTTCCAGAGGTGTCCCACTGATCTCCAGAGATGCAGGACCCAACCCAACCCTCACCCACTAGTTGGGAAAGTGCATACAGTGCCCACCTGCTGGTGGTTGCCCATCTTTAGCTTGGATGGCATCACAGTCTTAGTCTGCTTCTCTCCTTCTAGCTTTCATTGTTGGGGAAATTGGCAGGCGGGTGTTGCTATGGTGATTTGACTGGCAACTGTGTTGAATAAAATAATTTCCTTTCCTTGAAAAAGGAAGCTGTTGTTTGAGGGTGATCTAAGACAGTGCTTCTGCCTAGTTATCCCTTTCTGAGCCTCTCCTTTGCACTTTTGTACTTTGAGAGACTCTAAAAACATTTCAATACGATCCCCATGAGAAAAGCAGAGGCCACGTGGTAAAGGTTCTGATCTGCAATTCCGCCTGCCTGAGCTCCCCCCCCCCCCACTCTATGTGATGAACTGAAAGGTTAATGATTTTAATCTCTTATTTGCTGAAAAGACAGCTTTCTTTCCTGTGTCAAATGAACAAATACGAACTAATCTCCCTTTGCGGGGAGGGGGCTGTCATTTTTACTTGAGGATTGTGGCAGATATTTGGGTAAACAATGGCATCCGAGAACAGTTATAGGTCACGTCCTCTAGAAACGCCACAGGCTTAGCAAAGCCGACCAGGAGAGAAAGTGCGTCTCCTCTGACCACTTTCAGGGTGTTCCCTGTGGCTTTCCTCTGGGAAGTGATTTTATTCATTCGAGTTTGTAAATGTTTCCTTCCACTCACTGAGGTTTTCTCTTTGATGACAAAATTAGCTCACACGAGAAGTCCGTCGTTAGGGAAAAGATATTCAGAAAGAGAAACCAGCCCTACTTTCCGGTGGGCGTGACCTCTGACCTCTGCTTCCCCCAGCCCGGGATTCTTGTGGATACAAATTACTCCGCTTGGAGGGCCCGGGGAACATCTCTTCCTGGGCTCAAGGACCCCGTCGGCATTCACCTTGTTAGAGAATCACCTGAGCATCTCCTTTAATGACATGAGTCTCTGTTTCCATGCCCCGTAAGTTGTTCACAAAGGACAGACATTGATCCTTTTGCTTCCTGCCTTTTTCTAAATTATCTGTGAGCAGCGGTATTTAACAATGGAGCAATATTCAGATGTGCCCCAAAGCAGCAAGCTGAAGGGAGGAGAGTAGCCCCCAAACCCTGTACCCTGGTTCTCCATCCAGTATCAAAGATCTCAATCCGACTTTCCCCTATCAACCCGAGTCGGCATCACCATTTGTCAGCTGTGAGACTCTGGCCAAGTGCCTTGCCCAGTGATGTTTAGTTCCCTCCGTAAAGCCATGGGGAGGGTGTTAATATTACCGTCTGCTGCGTCGGGCAGTTTGGGGACATACGTGAGTCAAAGGGCTGGAACAGCGCCGGTCCAGCAGCTCCCCTTTGCTCGTGGTTTTGCTCTCCGTGGATTCAGTTACCCGTGGTCAACCAGGCCCCCCAAAATATTGCATTGAAGATTTCAGAAAGAAACAATTCATAAATTTTAAATTGCACCTTGTTCTGAGCAGCCTGAGGAAATCGCACACTGTCCCGCTCCGTCCTGCTGGGGATGGTTCATCCCTCTGTGCAGCGTCTGCCTCTGGGGATGCCCCCCGCCCCGTCGTCTGGCGGGAGCCCACCTGGTGGTCAGCTCGGCTGTGGAGAGCGGTGGGAAGGCCGACGACTGTCGGGGTCTCGCAGTGCTTCTGTCTAAGTCACCCTCCTTGCCCACTGTGGGTCCCGATGAGCAGGAGCGGTGCTGCTGGCGGGTTGGACCGACCAAAAAGAAGCCCTCAGGTGCTTCCTTGGAGTCAGAACGTGAGACAGGACAGTAAGATATTTGAGAGAGAGAGAAACCACATTTACATACGTTTCATTACGGTACATGGTTAGAATTGTTCCATTTTATTATTAGTTGTTAATCTATAAAGTAAGCCTCGTCATAGGTCTGTGTGTGATGTCTGTATCAGAGACGACATCGCATATACTGGGTTCGGTACTATCTGTGGTTTCGGGCACCCACTGGGGTCCTGGAACATATCCCTGTGGATGGGGGGGGCTATACTTCCTAAGAACTTGATAAGTGGTGACTATTATTAGCTATTAATACAAAACCTCAACTCCAGCCAGGCTCCTCACACTGCCCTCCTGTCACTCACGATCATTGCCAAGTGTCACCTTGCAGCGCCTATTACCCAGAATGCCCCCCGTTCCCCCACCAGCGGGGACATCCACGCAGAGCAGCGCAGTCCAGCAGACATAGTGGGAGCCCGTAGGAAAGCCGGAGTTTTCTAATAGCGGCATTAGAAAGGTAGAAAGAATCAAGTGAAATTAACTTTAATAACTCATTTTAAACCACTAAATCCAAAATATCATTTCAATATGTAATGGATGAGATCTTTTACATTTTTCTTCCCCTTTAAAGTCCACTGTACGTTTTACACTCAGGGCACCTCTCAATGTGTTCAGGTGTCACATGTCACATGCTGTTCAGATCCTGAGTAAGCAGGTGGCCAGGGTTACCTCTAGCTCTGTGATGGGCGCAAGCCCCTTAGATAATGACTAACACAGGCAGAGAGTCAACAGTGTGACGCCAGGCACCCTGCTGAGGACACATATCTTATTTCATCTTTTTGACAGTCCTCCTAGATGAGTATTTCTATTACCCCCATTTTGCAGATGAGGAAGCAGAGGCTTGAAGTTAAACGGCAGCTGGTAGGTCGCAGGGGCAGGATCTGAGCGGCTCTGTGGGGGCGGAGCTGTACTGTCCCTCCTCCCAGCTGGGAGCGCTAAGCCAGGGCCTGCGCCCTGCGCATCCTGGCACTGTGAACACTCGGCATGGTGGCGTGGCCCTGTGAACACTCGGCATGGTGGCGTGGCACTGTGAACACTCGGCATGGTGGCGTGGCCCTGTGAACACTCGGCATGGTGGCGTGGCACTGTGAAAACCTGGCGAGGTGGCGCGGTGCACAGTTTTGCTCAGACCTGGAAGAACAGCCGTGAACAGAATCTGCCTGGGTTTTCCCATAGCGATTCATACAGATTAGTCACCCCATAAAACCTGTATTTGTTTATTTTGTGAACAGACTGTGAGTCGATGGAATCCGCGCCCCCTGACCTCCGGGAGTGGGGACTCTGGGGGAGGGCTGGCCACGGAACATCTGGAGGTCACAGTCCTGGAAATAACTCCGGGGGGATCTTTTCCCCAGTCAAGGCCGGGTGAGGAAAAGCAGCTGGTCTTTACATAGGGCCTGAACTGGCCCTAGCAATGGTCTACTTCCTCTTATTGGCAGGGACTTAACCATGAAGGCCTCTGATTGAAAATCAAGATGGCTTTGAGATGGGAGACGCTTGCTCATCTTTATAAGTACTGCTCCCAGACTTCAAACGCTGGCGGTTTTCATAGCCAGCAGGCTTCGCTTCCCTCTTCTGTCCCTGAACCCTGCTTCTTGTTTTGTTTTGTTTTGTTCTTTCATCAATAAAGACCAGATTTCGACAAGAGTTGGACCTTAATCCAAGAACGGATCCAGATGGACTCCATGGTCATCAAAGGCCTCAGTCCAGACACCAACTACCAGTTTGCCGTGAGGGCCACGAATCCCCACGGTTCCAGCCTCCGCAGCCAGCCCAGCACCACCATCCGGACCCCCGGTGAGTACCGGGGCCCTTCAGAAGGACAGACGTAGCCGCATGGCCGAGGTCGCCTCTCAAGGACCCACGTGGTGCCCTGAGGAGGGCAGCCTGGAGGGGGCTCTCCTCGGAGTGTCCTGCGACAGTTTCCCCGCCCTTTGGAGGTTGGAGGCTTTCGCCAGGGACCCCGGCCGTTTCTATGGACACGAGGTCAGCAGAAGGTTTATTTTTGCACCATCCTTAGGGAGAGTGAAGTCAGTTTTCTTTCACAATTGCAGGAACAGAGCACATACCACGTCCCCCCCCTTTTTAACTTTTGAGAAAATGGGTTCATATTGTTTTATTATTTATGTATTTATTTATTTTTAATCCTTACCTGAGGATATTTTTCCATTAATTTTTTTTAAGATAGAGTGGGAGAAAGGGAAGGGGAGAGAGAGAGAGAAACACTGATGTGAGAGAGACACATTGATTGGTGGCCTCCTGCACAACCCCGATGGGGCTGGGAATTGAACCCGCAACCAATGTACCTGCCCTCGACCGGGAATTGAACCCGAGACTCTTTGGTCCTCGGCTCATGCTCTAACCACTGAGCAAAAATAGCCAGAGTGACAATGAGTTTATTTTAAAATCACAAGATTAAAAGTAACGCCCCAGACTCTTCAGGACTAATGTTTACTTGCAGATCAAGGAAGCTCAGGTAAATCATTCCCTCTGGATGATGGTCAGGGAAAATCGAAGGAGTCATTGGTGTGCTGACATGTATGGGGGGTCCAGCTGGGGACAGAGGCTCCTGCCTGTCACAGTGCCTCTCTGGGGCCTGGGGAGGCATGAGTGTCCAGCAGATCACTTGAGCACGTTTTGAAATGTCAGGCTCTGGGGTTGAGAAGCTCCCTCATGATTGATTCAGGAACCGCACTTCAATGACTCAGCCCTCCTTGCCTAGAAACTTTGTCTTTTAAAAGTGGGGGGCAGCCCTGGCCGGTTTGCTCAGCAGTTAGAGCGTTGGCCCGTGGACTGGAGAGTCCTGGGTTCGGTTCCCTCTAAGGGCACGTACCTCAGTTGCAGTTTGTCCCTGGCCTGGTTGGGGTCGTGTGGGTGGCAACCAGTCGATGTGTCTCTCTCACACTGAGGTTTCTCTCTCTCTCTTCCTCCCTCTCTCCCTCCAGCTCTATCTGAGGATACATGCAAAAGTGTCCTCGGGTGAGGATAAAAAAATAAAATAAAAGTGGGGGGCACATTTACATAAAAGCTGGAACCTCATATGGGGGAGACCTCAGAACCGAAATGTTGGCACTCTTGTTTGAAGCCTGAAATCTTTTCAGTTTTGCTAATTCCTCCAAATCTCTGTCGAAGAGCCCAGCTGTCACCCTTGGGTGCTCTCTACCCAGGAAGGAAGCCTGTATGACACTGTCCATTGGCCAGCGAGAGCCCTGTTTCTATTGGATAGTGCATCTGAGTTAACTCCGCCCCTCCTCACAGAACACCCACACCGCTGCCTCCCAAGGTCACTGCTCTGATTGGGGTGGAGGTTCACCGAGTTCCCCAAGTCCTAAGAATTTTGGCTCTTCTGAGATTGAATTGTTGGGGGATGTGGAGATATGATGAGCTCTCCCCGTCCCCTCCCCATACACAGTAACTATGGTCACCCAACAATTGTTATAGTTTTCTTCTTTATAGAGTTTAGAAGCTAAAACTCCCCAGGCATACGGCAAGGAATAAAGCTCCCTCTTTCCAGAAGAGCGTTAATGATTCTATTTCCAATGGAAGGAGGCCTCCTCCCACTCTTGCCGGCTGAGTAAGATCTATGCTATAATCTTTGATTAAACTCGGTCATGCATGGCCAGAAACTGAGGTAACAGGAGCGGGGACAAGCCTCAGATCTGACTACATTCTGAAGGTGTAGTTTGTTTTTAGGACAAAGAGCAGGCGCTCTGTGTGTCCCGCCCCTCCCCCAGCATCGAACTCCTCTGCTCCCACGCTCTGAGCTGACCCATGCTCACCTCCTTCCCTCCGTCCCTCGGTGTCCCCGCCACAGAGACGGCAGAAGGACGAGAGGAAACAGCTCCTGCTGTCCCTGGATGTGGGTGTGGACACGGGTCTGGGGAGAGGATGTGCGTCGGGGCATCCCTTGATCTTCCTCTTTTTGAATTGAAGCACTGGTCTGGTCTTGGAGTTTCTGATAAGCACTGCCCATTGGGGGTCCCAGTTTTGTGGATTAAGTAGGATAAGGTGTGCGAACATGCTTTATAGATATGTCATGGTTTTTAATTGATCTTATTGGGGTGACCTTGGTTTATGAAATTACATACTTTTCAGGTGTGCAGTTCTATAATGCATCTTCTGTATATTGTATTGTGTGTTCACCACCCCAACAGATACATAACGTTTCATTACAACTGGTCTCCTATTCAAAGTAAAATGTTGCCATTTCAAAGTACTTGTATGCAGGTGACTGATTCACTGACAACTCTCAATTATGGAATATTCTTAAACAAACACAGTGTAACTGCTTTTCCATGTATACAGCTACTCAAGTCAGGATAACAGAAGCAGAACTTATTAGCCGGCCTGTTTCATGGATACTACCCGTGTGCTGTGACCGCTTTCATCTGCGGTTTTCGCTCGTGACCACTTCTAAGTGTTTTAGAGACCCAGTCTCACTTCCTCTTTGCTTTTAGCTTAGACCCTTATTTTGTTTCCAAAACCCATTTTCCAGTATATAAGATTGCTGCTTACCAAGTAGCACTCATTTGAATCACAGCAGATTCTAGATGTCAGAGCTCCTCTGTGTCAGCCTCCCGTGAGCCCGGCAGCCTGAGCTCTTTCCCTGGCAAATCCCCTGTGAACCCTCAGCACACCCCATGCCGCAGGGATGGGGCCCCTCTTTATAGGTTTTTAAAAATCGAGTTTTTGAAAGGTTGTGTATTTTGCCAAGAATAAAAATGACAAAGGCAGGATTTGAACTCGGGTTGGGCTGCCCGGAGAGCCGCTTCCCTGAGTGAGATTCCAGCGAAAGGAGGTTCTTCTCCTCCTAACGCGAAGTAGCGCGGGGAGGGTGAGGTCGGCAATGGAGGAAGCGGACTGAGGGAGTCCTGACAGCACTTCGAACCTGCTGGGATGTTTTCCGTTGACACTGTGAGGGACACTGTTCGTGGTGCAGGCCTGAAGGCCACCAGCGTGCGTCGGGGCAGCACTAGGAGTGCAGCCAGCGCCGTCTGTTTGCTCAGACCCCAGTCAGACGTGGCCCTGAAGGAATTCACGAGACCGCGTTTCTGCCTCTTGGGTTTTCCCACGTACTGCCCCTCCCCGGCTCAGGTCATTCCCACCTGGATGTTTTCTTGGGCTGATGCCCACTTCGCTCCCTGAGCGTCGGTTCAGAATGTTCAGGCTGACTCCTGAGGCACAGAGCACTGGACGGGGACCTTAGATGCCACCCCGGACACGGCCACTCACCGTTGCTGGGCTCCTCTTGCCTGTTTTTGGCCCATACCCACCTCCTTCCAAAGGAAAAACACCAGCTCCACTCACTGACAAGCCTTGACTTCCCCGGGACCGTGAACACCAGCCTCTATTAGCAGCTGCATTGCGTAATGGGACAACTGGTAGATCTCAGTTGCTTTTCGTGTCTGTAGTTAATGAAAGCCGGGGTCAGCGTGTTCCTTCATTAGCGCTCAGCCTGAGTGAGGGAGGGGGAGGGTTTGATGGCTTCACGGAGTGTCGCTAGGCATGCTCCATATCCACAGCTCGCTCCACAAAGTCACTGTGCAGCGGAAGAGCCAAGCAAGATGTTTTAGTGTCTGTGTCCTCCGATGAGAAATGTGAGCATTGGTGGCCTTGACCGATGGTGACGCCACCTTGTGTTACTTCCGTCCTCTGACTGGAGACTGTCCTCACACATCAGTGTCCATTCTGTTCCACTAAGGAAACACAGAGGTGAAGGTCCCCATCTCACTTTCTACCCGATCCTGCTCAGTTTTTTAAAAAGTATGTTTTGATTGATTTTTAGAGAGAAAGGGAGAGATAGAAACATCTATGTGAGAGAGAAACATCAATTGGTTGTCTCTTGCATGCCCCCTACTGGGGATCAAGCTGAAACCTGGGCATGTGCCCTGACCAGGAATTAAACCGGGACCTCTCAGTCCATGGGACGACACTCACCACTGAGCCACACCATCTCGGCTGCTTAATTTTATGAAGAAATGCAGTCAAACCTCGGTTCTCAAACCTCTCCCATATTTCAGTTCAGTTCTCAACCAAGTTTGTTCATGGAAAAAATATCTCCATTTTGCAACGAAACTTCGGTTCTGGACCTGACACCCTTTCGTGCTGATACAGCAGGAGGACAAAAAGCATCTCTCAGCCACAGACAAAGGAGAGAATGCGAGTCCGTGTCCCCGCTGAACCTTGTGTTTTTAACACCTCAGGAAATTGTGCTGTGAGAACTTTTGTGTCTTTTTTGCTTGTGTTGCTGGTGAAATGGATGATTAGCACAATTTTAAAACATAGCGAGGCCGTCCAGTGTGCTGTTGTTGCTACAGAGTGAGGGTGCTCAGGAGACGAGGATCACAGGCGATGGAAGAGGCAGGGACGCTGTCATCGGTTTGGATGAAGGAAAAGCAGTGATGTGTGGAAAAGGGGACCAGTGCTGAGAGAGCTTCCTTTAAGGCTACCAGGGATGGGTCACTAAATTTAAGGGAAGAAGTGTTTGTTTACAAGTTAAACAGTACATTAGACATGTACTGTATATAGGAAAGGTTAAAACAAAATAGGGCATCATTTAGGGGTCTGGAATGGATTAATTCCATTTATATTATTTCTAATGGGAAAAGTGATTAGGTTATCGAACAAACTGCTTCTCGAACAGCCTTCTGGAATGAATTAAGTTTGAGAACCGAGGTTCCACTGTACCCACGTATAATTTGCCTTAGTGTTCCGTGGCATTCTTTTCTCCCTGTGATTGATTTATAAATTAGCCAATCAGAACAGGGGCCCTGCGGAACCTCACAGACATGGGCACA